GTGATTGCTCACTACCAACTCTCACTTTGGATGACTAACTGCGAAGGCCTTGCTTTTCTAAAGGGGGTTTGTCTGGAAAACTCACCCTTGGTTAGAGTTAGGGAAATAGAGTCACCATAAATATTTGAGTTGCCCTCTAAAGTGACTTTGTTCAGTTTTTGTTTTTCGAGGTATTAAAAAAAAATACAAAACTTATGCAATCTCACCACTCCACTTGCAGTTTTGTGGTGCAATTAAACCCAACTTTAATTTGGGCTTAATCTCACATGGCAATGATCACACACACGTAACTTGCAACCCCTACTTTTGGGCTGGTAATGCGTGGGGAATCCCAGGCACGTGGCCAGGTCAAAAGTGATTCAGCAGGCGCATACGGTGCACGTGTCTTCTTTACACAATTATATAGTAATGACCCTCCACAATTCAAGGCAAATCATTTCTATCGATTTGTATTTATAAGTTATTAAGGGGATGCAAATGAGAGTTCGTTTAGTTTCGAACAATTTGGATATCTTTTCATTAAAAAGCTTAGTTTGTTCTTAACAAAAAGCTAAATAAAGAAAAACCTTTACTTATTAGAATGATGAATGCTTGTGAAGAAATAAATCTCCATAAGAATTTGTCACAAGAAATGTTCTCTGTTAATGAATTTTGTGTTTTTATCTGCTCGACTATATTGACAGAGTTTGCCTCATTCATCTTTGTTTCTTGATTGCTGCGGGGCCGACTTACTCCTCCGACTTGGTCTTAAAGTAGATTTCCTGGAGTCTGCCCATACCCGTTGTCAGCTCTCAAAACACGTTCCAGCGAGGCGACGCAATTTCCCACCGTCGGTCCCATTGGAAGTCTCAGGCCGGGAAAGACGACTAAGATATGCCGTGCTCAAGGGAGCTTCCGAATTTGTAAGACGAGAATGGGGAAAGTGGAGGGAATCAGAGGGGAGTCCGAGAGTGAGAGCTATATATCGTGGCTCAAACTATTTGCATTCTTTTGACCTGACTCAGAAATCAAGAGAAGCTTGGTGACCAAGGTTAGGGTTCTGAAAATGTTGGAAATTGTATAGATTAGGTCGAGGCCTCAATGGGAGTCGATCGCTTCTGATGATCAGTCGGTTGACCACATAGTTAAAATGTAATTTAGGAAGGTAGAAAAGCACCAGTACGAGCTATTGCATTTTGGTACAGTCTCACACTTCTTGTTTCTGACCAAGTTGGAAGATAGGCTCCCACGCTCTAGAAAGCCAAGCCCATTTAAAAGACATGCATCAACAATGCCGCATATTAATGATCCGCCAGTCTGGCCTTTTGCTCGTGATAAGAGATTATGGTAAGTTGTTCAACTTGGGTAAAGCAAAGGGCGGTAAATAAAGAAAGCAAACCAGACTAACTATATCTGCCCGCGGGGCGTCATCTGATAATGTCTTCGGTGCCTCAGGAGAATATTAAAAAAGGAAAGGCATGGAGATTGTACAAAAAGCTAAAAAGTGAACCGGGAAATATACATAGTACAGATTAAGTATAGTAACAAACAGATGATTGCTACATAAGACCAAACAAAAAATAATAATTTAATGTTCATGCGGCTAAAAGCGCCTATTACATTTTTCGAGATAATTATCTAGTGAGGACACTCTACTCAGTATTTTGAGTTAACGAGGTCTTACCCTCACTCAACCGCTTACTTTCGACCATTTCGGCCTGTCGAGCTGAGGTCGTATTGCCATATAATTGCGCATAATGACGCATAAAAAATTGTTAAGAAAACGCCGGTAGCAGACATAAAATCGAGACAAGGGCAACAGCCTAACCGCAAACAGAAAACAAGTTGCCAAGGAGTATAGTCTTGTTGTCAGGAGGATGGAGGTTCAGTATGCGCACAAGGCATGACCTTTTCAGGCCAATAGGAGTGAATGACAATGAAAATACACGTAAAAAGTAAAGATTCATGGAATGGAAACGAAAAAAGATTAAGCATGACAAGAAGCGCTGGAACAATTTGTGACGACAAAGAGGCGTTTTTAGAGGGAGCAAAAGGAAAAAGTTGAAGAAAGGAAAGTTTTTACCTGGCATTGATAAATCTCTGCCACAATGAGAGTAAAGTAAAAGCACGCCACTGCATTTAAAAATCGATTTTTTTACTTTGGAGTTAGTTTTTGCTGTATTTCTTTGTACTTTTGTGGCAAAAGGGCCAAAACGAATCATTTGGGGTTTTGTAAATTAAAACCTACGTGAGTGACGAAAATTATGTATTGCATGGAAAGTGCTGTCCCTATAAGTGTTCCTTCTCTATCTCAAAACTACGTGAGATTTTTGATAAAGCGACACTCAAAGATAAGCTAAACGCCCAACCTGCCACCAGCCAAACACCCCGAGTGGCACTCGCAAAATGGGCAAAACAAAGCGAAAACTTCCTCAGAATAACCAGACAAGGGAAGTGAAGTAGTTGGGGGGTACGAGGTGGGTTTTTTAGGTGGGTATATATCTATATCTCTATTTGTGCCTGTCGCATGATCAGAGGCACCTGGCAAAATTTTGTCAGTAGCCAAGCCACCGACAAAATCAACAAATAGAAGCCAGTTTTCAGGTTCAGATGGGCAGTGCTTGAAAAGCGAGAAGGGTATGTCGGGGCAACAAGGGTTAGTACAGTGGTTGTTATTGAAGGACAATCAGTTGATAAAGCTGGCACGAGAAATTATTTTCCGCTTTTATTAATGGCTTTTTAAGCCTTTAATTATCTTGTTTATATGTCAATGAATGTTTAACTACAAATGTTTACAAACAATAAGCTTTGAGCAAGTTCTCAGAAAACTTGATGGTAAAAGCACAGAAAACTTTTCTGTATCTGATTTTAACTTAGGCCTTGGCGCAGGTAAACAAAAAATCTATATTATAATCAACAAACATCAATCATTAAATATTATTGCATTAAAATGAAACATAAGATGCCGTGTTAGTTTTTTATTTAATATAATTTACAATGACCATTGCTTTTATTTTGTTTTATTTGAGTAGCCCTGAATGAATCTGAAGCTGACTGACGGTTTATCCACAACTAATTCCTCATTTTATTTGTGCCACCAACACTTGTTAATTTATTATCTATTTTGCACCCAAATTTTGAGGAATTCTTTGAGCTTTTTTTAACCACTGTAGTGCGCGTTTTAGCTGAACTTGATTAGGCCACATACTCGATTCGAGACAGAATAAGAAGTATTGACTGGAGTTAGTTTTTACCCTATATCATTACTAAGTAGGTAATTGAATCTGGGAAATATTTTATTATCAGGGGTTAGATACCTTTAAAAATTTGTGAAAAAGATAGAAATATAGAATGTTGCACTAGTAATTAAAGGCTATATGATACGTTGAATATGAGTGTTTGAGGTTGCAGAAATGTTTTTGCAAACATCTCTTAATATTTTTGAATTACGTTTATGAAATGTGCTGTCTTTTTTAAAACCACCATCTGCCAAACATTGAATTCGAATTGTTTTTTTTATTAACGTTATTATTATTAAACTTATCCTTAAAAAATTGATTTAACTTTAAGGACAAAAAAGTGAAATTCGTAAACCATTAAAAAGGCAATGTTGGTTGTTTGCACCTGTCAAGTGAGAACCAAGAAAGGGTGTTTGGAGTAAACAAGTGACGACTGCCCCAGGAGTTTCCGCGGACTCACCTTTTGGCTTTTCTCTGACTGATGGAACAACGCCGTCGCTTCCGCCGGCTGGAAAATATGTTGATGAAAGCATGTGTTGAGCAGCAGCGGCATGCAAAGACAAGTGCAAGCGCAACATCTTCGGATCGTTGCAATAAGCTGACGTTATTTGTTAATGCTGTTTGTTGTTGTGGATGTAAGGGCGATATTTGCTGTTTTGCTGGCGATAAGTATAACTTGTTTGTTGCCGTGAGGGCCAATGTGGTGACATCACACTTCCGCATCTTTTAATTTTAAGATAGTTTTATTGGGCCGGGGAGGTTTGACAAAACCGGGATGAATGTTTTGGCAACTCGCAGGCACCATTCGCATAACTGGACTTTTGAGGAGCTCTAAACAAAAAGCACGCGCGTTGATCAAAGGCTAAAACATTCGCTGGCAGAAATTACTCCTCGGATAGAGACGACTTTGGTGTTCTGTTGTTTTGCCTATCTGTTGTTGGGCCCTCTCTTTTCTACCTTTTTGCCCCCTTCTCTCACTCCGCTTTTCATGTGCTTTGCAGAACTTTTGGCCTTCTATTGGTATTTTTCTAATATGCGAGAGCTTCTCGCCCATTCACAATCTTAAATTCAGCATAATTTTTATTTATTAAAGTGGGCACTATCATCAGCGGCAGTTTAGCTTTATATTATTTTTTTCGGGAACAATTCAATTTGCTTTGACCACAATCTTCACACACACCCGCACAAACACACACGCGCAGACAGCAGAGCGACAGCGACGTTACCGTTCGCTGCCCGATTTTGTTTTGAATCGCGTTTCTATGTAAAATCGGGTCTCTATATACAAACATACGTTACATACGTATAGGAGAGACCAGACTCGCAGAGACAATGTAATCTTTTCAGCTGTCTATTTTTGCTTCACTTACGGACGGTCACACCGAAAATGTTATGAATACTTAGCGGAAATGTTAACATTAAATCTTTTAACAGTGGCAGAAATGGCAGTTGTAAACGACTTTCAACATTAATTGTAAAATATAACGATAGCAGTAACATTCCTGCTGTTTAAAACAGTACACATGTTAAGTAACATATTTACAAAATGTTAAGGTAAAATACTTGTACATTAACTGACGATATTATAACAGTTTGCGATTACGCATCCCAGACATAGCACAGACACAATCCTGACAAAGCTGGGATACTCACCCGATAGCAATCGATACCCAGAAAAAGTGTGGCTTCTCTTGGGCCAGAAAATAATGCAGACAAAAGGTGGCTAGCAATAGTCCTTTTGTAAAGTTGGTCACATTTCTGTATATATGTAGTGTGTATATTTGTTTGTATATAGAAACTCGATTCAAAACAAAATCGTCCAGCGAACGGTAACGTCGCCGTCGGACGTTTTTCTCGTATTTTGTGTTTTCGAGCACCCCAGCCGGAACTCCGCCGCCACCTCCTTAGCAAGTGCTTTTATCATTTTACTGAATGAAAAGGCTCAAGTATCGCGACTATTGAGGCCTCACGGTGCCGGCTGTTAACGGGGAATCCTACAGAATGCACTCGCTGCACGGACAGTTCATGAGAATTTGACATTTAAGTGCGGGCTTTGGTTTTGCCGCAAACTGCAGTTCGGCTTTATTTTGTGGCGTGGGCTAAGATTGGCGGACACACCCACCCGAAAACAAAAACAAAAAGTAGTCCAAAGGCCCCAATAGTTCTCTCTCTGTGTGTGTGAGATTGTGTGCGAGTGAGAGGAAAGGGACTCGAATCGAATCGAGCCGGTTTTCGCGAGTTAATTGACAAAGCAAACAGAGAAAAATTGGCAAACAAGCAAACAACGCGTAATATAAACAAAAGGCAATAATGTCGTTCCAAACAAACTGAAAACTAAAAGATTTTTTGAGAATCGTACGCTTACTCATCATCTAGCGGATGCGAGGGAGACCACAACAATGCAAAATACTCTATAATTAGCTTCGATATTCCAACCCCCAAACATTATGGCCCAAGGCCCCCTCTCCCGCCCCGTAAAGAATATGGCGAAATTCCTGGCAGCCCTTGGAATCTGCTGTTGGCTGCTCGTTTCGGCCACCGCTCACAACTGTCAGCATCAGCATCCCAAGGCCCATGAGGTGAGTTGAGTCCACAAATGTTTGTGTTGGCCCTCTTTTGCTCCTCTTTGGTTCCCCCTTTCGCCTCTTCCCTGGCAACCAAAAACCAATAATAATACCTGGGGAGAGGGCTATTTTTGGGAACCGGAGCTTTTCGCACCTGCAAACACGTGCGTAGCATTTCCATAGGATTTAACTGCAAGTATTTCACAAAATCAATTTCAGCTTAAAAGGGCTGAATTCCCGATCTAGAATTTTGCTATTTTGAAAGTTGTTTATTATCAACTATTTTACAAAATTGATAAACTATATATATTAATTTAATATTCTTAAAATTTAATAAGGCAGTTAATTTTAGAGATTGAAAAGCAGCTATCACTATTTCAATAGCATAAGCCAGTACCAGATTGCTTAGTCAGATTTTTTATGATTTCTTAGATAATTGTCTGCAAATAACAGATAATCGTATATGATGACTATTTAAAAGTAGGTGACGATGTTGTATCTCTAGCTTCATCAAGGCTAACGTTACGTCAATCCTTTTTAACAATTATGAAAATTAAATGTACTCAGAAATAAATTAAAATCTTAATAAAGAAGGGTAAGGGATATTCTAAACTTTACCTAAAAAACCAATTCATTTGCATGAGTAAACTTGTAAAAGTATCAAGAGATCCTCTAACAAAATATTTTACTATTGGCCAAAAGCCTATTCAACTTTACACGCAGATTAGCTTCCAAATTGGCTCTTAAAATCTACAAGCTTATTGGGGCATTTCGATCAAAGTTGAACATGAACATGAAATAACCACCCGTAAGCACTTGCACAAAATCTGATTGGAAAAACCAACTTGCAGAAAAGCTTGAACGGGCAGTCAAAGGAAAATTGGACTTTCGATGCTCAAATTTCCAGCTTGTTTTGACGACGCCTTCGGGTCTGTGTCCTTTGTACTCATTACAGTAAGCTCCTAATTGGTACTGTTTTCACTGGAAATTCATAATTGATTCGTTCTGCCTTGGAAAATACCTAATTAGTGCGAGTTTAAGAGGAGCTCTGAATTGCCGTTCTCATAATTCCATTCTGCCATGGAAATAGAAACTGAAACAATAAGCAGGTGATGGCAACCACAGCTTATTGACTAATTCCGCCGGATAATAATATGCGCATTCGAGATGTATAGTAATTCAGTATTCAGTCAATGCAATCTGTGTGGTTGGTTTTGTCAGTAAGTCAGGTGGTGCTGCATATTAACAGGTAACTCATAACTGGTAACCCACCATGGTGCCGGTTACCAAACCGCCATCCACCTGCACCACATCCAGTGGTCTAGTTAGAGTTTAATGTCAGACTATGTCCGCCAACTTGTTGCTCTGGATTCAGATTGAGCCCGGCTTTTGTTTTTCTTTTAAGGGGTTTTTCCTTACACTTTACTGCTTTCCAATCAACGGCATTTTAATTGCCGCGTCGCCATAAATAAAGGTCGCAGTCAATTGCGCAAAAAGGGGAAATTTACATGATTACTATATCGTATGCGGTACAGTCGGTCCTCTGTGGTTGTAATGTTCAGGAAACCGGAAATCGCACTTTCTCAAATGAAAAAATTATTTTTAAAACTTTTTAATTAAGTTTTTCGGCGAAGTTATTATTCTTGGAAAGAAATCATTTGACATCTCGAGTTTATAGTTTCATTTCTAAGAATCAAAAAAGTCGTACATTTTGTAGATTATAAAATTTGTTGATTTGCTCTTATGATTATTTTGCAGAAAACAAATATTTTCATTAAAAGTTTTAAATCTTTATATTTTTAGTCACCATTCCCAGAACTTTATAATAAGGGTAGAAAAAAATGTTTATGACTCAACCTGCTTAACCACGAATTAATAATTTAAAACCCAGGGGAAAATATGGAAAAACTGTGCAACCACAAAGTCTTAATTAGCGAGTAACCACTTTGGTTTCGAGCAAGTAAAAGTGAACTGGAATGGCAGGGGAAAATTAATTCAGCGACTGTCTGTCGATGGCTAACGATGCTGTCGAGGTCGCCCAGCATGTAATTAATTGAATTATCTCTAACTTAAACTGCTATAAATGCAGAAAACAGTCGCCCAGATTGTGTGTATCTTTTTCTTTGGCAACGGAATGTTCTTTTTGTCTATCTGTCTGCCTGACTGTCTCCATGCTCATTTAAATTGATCCTGTCAGGAGCAGTTGTTGTGTTAGAGCAGCCCGCAGCAGGGCTGGGTCCACTGACCGCGTGGGCGAACGACCCCAAAAATATGTACGTAGTACTCATACCTCCACTGATACCCATACCAAATACCGGTCCAGTTGAAACCGAAGCACTCAATTGTAATTAGACTTATATAAATTGAAGATGGCAGCAACAACTGGCAGAACGAGCGCAATAATGTGTAAAAATCCCCAAATTGAATCATTTGTCACGTTGCCAGTTTGCGTGACTGTCAGTGATGCCGCGGACTGTACTCTCTGACCCAGTAATCCGATCAACTCAGCGAACCTAAAGTGCACTTTAAACGTACAATCAGGATTCAGTTCAAACTTTCGAAACTTCAGGTGGTTTTAATTATTTTTTGGCTTTCATCAAACTGAGCTAAGACTGCAGGTTCTCTCTCTGTGGAGGATAAAAATCGCAGTCAACATAAATTTTCTTTGAGCTTAAACAAGATAATAATTTATATTAACAACGATTTAATAAGTTCTCACTCTTCCCCTGTATAATCTTTCCTGCAGTATTTACAAACTTTCTTGTTTTGATATGTCGAAATTACATTTGCCACACCGTTTGGCTGAGCCCCTTGGTAACTATAAACACAGAAATGCAAATGCATTCATCTCGCCAATATGTTTTGCCAACATCTGCTTGTATTTCCATTTACATTTTAAGTGGATAGCCGTCTTGCCATACTTCTGCATCATAGACCCTCTACCATTCCTCACGATTAAATATTTATCAACCTGAGGAAAACAAACTTTAAACAAACAGCAAAGTTACTTTGTAGCAAAACGTTTTAGACAGCCAACAAGAAGCCATTCACAAAACTTTGAAGCATCCTCGACTTGCAGAATGAGAAGGAGATCGATGATGGATTTTCGGGTATTTTCCAGAAAAATAGAACTGACTCGTCTTGCTAGTGAGGTATTCATGGAATTGCAAGTGTAATTGGCCAATTAGGAGCCATGAAGCTTGAGTTGCAGCAAATAAATTGTAGGGATTCCCGTCAAATGAAATTTGCATACAATTGGAAAGTCGTGAGGCGGAGTAAAAATGAAATAACAAGCAAAAGCTTTCATTCAAAAATTATGGCCTCAAAAAGTATTTGTTATAATGAAAACTATTATAGTATTATATATAAAAACAAATTAACAAACTCTGTGGGGATTCCAATGTTATTAAAAAAAAGTTTAAATGAAAACCTCCTAATGAAATAAGTTAATCTTTAACTATTCATAGCTTTTGTTGGCTGTCAATTATAAAACATTAGTTTTATGTTCATGTTTCATTTTATGAGTCCATTTCTCTCATATGAAAAGCAATCAGAAAGTAGGTAGGTACGTACATATGTAATTTTGGCAAATTAAAAAGTTTAATATCCAGTGGCTCCTGTTATATTTTCAACCAGAAACGACGAACTTCATCACGTTAGCAGTTACACTGGCCTTCCGTTTTTTCTTTTCATTCAATTAAAACTGCTGTTAGAGCAGAAGCTTTCATTGGTAGCAAAGTAGTTTCCATAGCAATGGCAAATAGACGAGCTACTAGTAAAAATCTGGAATTTATCTCAGTTGCGTAGTTGGGCACCTGGGGAGAAAACACGTTTATCAACGAATGCCAAACGCAGTTGGCCAAATGGCTGATGGATGTACACGTTGATGCCGCTTCAGGGCCATTAAAGCGAAACTGTTTTGAAACAAAACACTGGCAACTGGAAGCGAGCAAACAAGTGTCTTCAGCAGGAAGAGATTCATGCCCAAAGTGAATCCATTTTGGGCGAGGTCAATTCTTCAGCAGGGTCCTTGCATAAGCCCCTTTAAATCCCTGTGCATTTTGCTCCAATCAACAGCGTTTCGAATTGCAAACACAGGCATTAAATTTCACTTCCATTCATGCTCAACTTGTGCAATACAAAAAGCTGTTTCTCGAACGTGTCTCAAATTGAATGCCAAACTAATTAGGCATTGTCTTAATAATTAAAGGAACTTAAACTGACTTCTACATGAAATCCTTAATACACATTTAATTTGCTTATATTAGTTTATTTATGAAATGGATTTTAGCTGTGTGTGTCTTTGATTTGACTTTAATTAATTTTGGCATCTCAACAATAAACTTCCTTCGTTTTGCTCTTCGAATTTTATAAAATTGTTGAGGTATTCAAACATATAGAACATTTAACAAGATTATTTCATTTGAGGCAATTTAATGCAACAATTAATTTCATGCAACATAGTATTAGTACGATTATGTATGCTTAAAGCTTTTATGAATATCGGGAATATAGCAAATCCACATTAGTTTTTAATAAGTTTGAATAATTTAAAAGAGCAAAGCAAATCTTAAGTAAATTTAATGCAACATTTAATGTTTTGCATTGTGGAGTAAAAAGTAAAATCAGCTGCATGAGATACATTCACTTGTTGGAATTACGTTTAAATTTTTCATAGATTTCACCTGTCGAAGTGCAATATATTCAAGGGAATTTTCATTGGAATTTCACTCGAAATATTTATAACAAAACGAAAAACCAGCGCTTTCATGGAACTTTTACTGTCATTTAATGCAATTATTCAATTGGCTGGGTCCATCATCCCGCTCAGAACTCATCCAATTTATTGCGGCGTAAATTGTGCCACTTGACTAGCTGCTGATCCGGGCGTTCAGCTGGTGCTAAAGTGCCTTAGATTAGCTGCAGTTCATAATTTCAATTAAGTAACAAACACACAGCTTTTTTGCGGTCAAACTGTGAGGTAACGAACGAATTGAGTAAAAATAATCAGCAGTTGGCGAACAGATGAGTCAGACAGCCAGGGACTTTGAAAAAAAAGAGCAGACCAAAAGAGCCAGCAAAGTGGCACAGCATGCAAAGTGTGGCCATCGGCAAAACCCGGCTCAGAAAAATATTAACAAGAAAAAAAAGTAAAAACACAAATTGGTGAGCCGAAGCTTAGCTGGTCGAGAGAATCCAAGAGTGAGAGTGCTGGCCGAACGAAAGTGAAAGCCCAAATACAAACGCTCAATGGAAAGACGGGATTTCGATTGATCTGCCGAACTTGAGCGAGCGTTGAACGCAGGTGACAGCCGGCGGAAAAGTACACTCGAAAAAGTATAGGGTTAATGTTTGTTGTAATGTTTAACCCATTTACTATGTTTTTGTTTTGTAAATTTAAACAAAATATTCGCTTGATTAAATTAAATTGAAATTGCCATTTAGTTTATCAAAATAGGGATCAAGGTTGATTTCATTGATTAATATCAATACAACCTGCTTTTGTTGTTTGTTGCATTAATATTTATAAACTATTCACTTTTTCGTATTTTTCCAAAATGTGTAATCCTAAAATTGGGCTATTAGAAACGGGAACAAAGCTGATTATATTATTTAATATCAACACATCGTGCCATCGTTATGGAAATTGCATTTCTGTTTTGATTCAATAATTACATGAATATTTATAAGCAGTGAATAAATTTGTCTGTATTACTTAATTTCAATATGATAACATAGTGTTTGATTGATTTATTTTAAACAAAAGGAAAACTGATGCTTAAACTTTGCAAAAATAATTATGAAAGGAAATTACAATGTGCTCAAAAATACTTTAATTGAATTCACATTAAAAATGGAATTCATATTAAAAAATGATTTAAAGCTTTTAATTATCCAAATAATAATAATATTAATAAATTCAAAAATATATTTATATCTAGATTTAAAAACCTAGCTAATGGTTATTTCATTTTTCCAAGCGTTAAATGATATTTTTTCCTGTGCAACATTGTTGGGCGGAAGAGAGTGTAAACGAGTGAGATGAAGACGCAGAAATGTTGTCAGTTACGGATTGCTTGGCGATTGGCAGACCGGGCGACTGGCTCCGAGCCATAGAGACAGACGTTAATAATTACTCAACCGCCATCGATGATCGATTCCCGCGCCCAAATTAGCATGCGCAACTGGACAAACCGCGTTGGCGCCTCGTAATCCCGATCTCCATGCCGAGAGATCTCCACCCGGAGCAAACGTGCGTGGCTTGCAGTTGGCCATTTATGACAGCTCTTTTTTTATTTGGTCTTTTTAAGCCACCTCTTATTTGTTTTGGCTTTAAAAGTAAATACGGGAGGTAATCAGGCGGCCGCATGCTCAGCCAACTGTGGCCGAAACGAACATTTCTCTTTGCTTTTCTTTGCCGGTCTTTGGCATTTTTATTTATATTTTTTATTTTTTGTTTGAATTGTTACCATTTCTGAGTTAAACGTGAGTCGCATGGCCAAAGCTGGACATGCTCGAATGTGGCCCACAAACCGAACAAAATTTGTTTGCCACTCGAAAGTGTGTTAGTATGCAAGCGGGTTGGGCATTACGTCTTATCAACGATTGAATAAGCCAATGTGTCATGTGCATACGAGGAGTATACCGGTGTGGCTAGAAAGTGTGGCTAAAAATATGGCCATTTATAGGATGGCGATATCATTTGGTCGACCTTCTTATCAACAGAATATTTTTAATATATTTTATATTATTATTTTTTACAAGATATAAAAAGCAGGCAATTACCGTTTTTAATCCCTTTATTAATTTATGAATTGTTTACAAATTTTTGTTGCCAATAAAACTGAAGTGACATCGTGCAGAAAATACGTTTTTAGTGTTTTGCTTGATAAAAAATCATTTAAAAAATAGTACTGAGCCATTCAATTTAAATGCCAATACTTGATTAATGTACCAATTTGAGTGCAAACCATACTGGCCATGATCAACTGGAACTTTTGATATAAATCCAGCTTCGTCTGGAGTCCAATTCCAAAGTCGCATCTCTGTGCCAGCCTTTAAATGAAAGTATAAAACTAACGTATAATGGTAACATATTTTGTTTGTCAAACTTACCACGTAAGGACATGTGTGATTGACATTTGTGAATGCCGCCAAATAGGAATAAATAAGATTGGAAATAAAGAACTTCCTTCGGTTCTTAAAGAACTCGCAAATGTCCATTTTTATGTCGTACAAAAAGGGATGCCAACCGCCAATCTCTCGTTTAACAATTTTGAAATGGATTGCAAACTGGGTTAGATATTACTTTTAGTTGTCATTTGCTAATCATAATATGTTGGTTATTGAAAATACCTCTGATACGGTTTTATTAATAAAGGCTGCAATGTTGATCATATTATGTTTCCGATCAATCGCCTTTATCCCGCACTCATGATGGGGAATAATATCCGGTGATCCAACCTCGCAATTTAATGAGTTAAACTTGTAGGACCCTCGTACCTATTACATAAGTTTTTTAAAATGCTTCGCACTTTCTTTTCTTACTCACATTAATAATATTAAGGATATTTAGCCAGAGTACTAAGAAATGAATAACTTGCGCTCTCTCCATTTCGTGATATAATAATACAAATTTTGCTCGATTTTTAGACTATACTGGTTTACTTTGTTAATATATTTTTAATATCCCGATTTTATCTGTACATTTATTGTCAAGCGGGTTAGCCATTACGTCGTATCAAAGATTAAATAAGCCAAAGCGTGTATAGCTGAAAAGTGTGGCTAAAAACATGATCAAATAAAGAATAATTTAGGATTTAGTCAGCCTTACCAAAGAATATTTTTAATATGTATATTTTTAAGTATTTTTACAAGAAATTAAAAGTATTTTTTTTACCGTTATTAAGCCCTTTTATTAATCCATAACTTTTTAAAATATTTTTTAATTCGTTTCCAGTGAAACTGAAATGATTTGCTTAAGAAGTAAGCACTTAAAAGAATAGTACTGAACCATTCATTTTGAATGCCAGTTTTTTATTAAAGTACCAAGTTGTGTGCAAACCGTATTGGCCATGTTCAACTGGAAATTTTGATAAGACTCCAGCTTCGTCTGGTGTCCAATTCCAAAGTCCCAAGTCTGCGCCAGCCTTTAGTTGAAAATATGGAACTAATATTTTATTGTAAGATATTTTTTCTTACCAGATATGGGCATGTGTGATTGATATTTGTGAATGACTTCATAAAGGAATATATAAAATTAGGAATAAAGAACTTCCTTCGGTTCTTAAAGAACTCGCAAAGGTCCAATTTCATGTCGTACAAAAAAGGATGCCAACCGCCAATCTCTCTTTTAACCATTTTAAAATGGATTCCAAACTGCAGTAGACATTACTTTGAGTAGTCATTAAATATGTTTTAAATATTTCAATTACCTCTGAGACGTTTTTAAGAGCGTAGGATGCAACGCTAAGCATATTATGTTTTCGATCAATCGCCTTTATGCGGCACACATAATTGTTAATACTTGCCGGTGGAACAACCTCGCAAGTTAATGAGTTAAACTTGTAGGCCCCCTGCACCTATGAAATTTGTTCTTTAAAATGCTTCGAACTTCGTTATCTTACTTACGTTAGTAATACAAAGGATATTTAGCCAGAGTACGGATAAATAAATAACTTGTTGCCTCTCCATTTCATGAAAAATTACTACATTTTTTCTCGATTTGCAGAGCGTAAAAAATAAGTTCGATAATTTCTTTTTAATAATTCATAATACATTATGGTATTTCTGTCTTAATCACAGCTAAATTTAGGCGTGAATAAATTAAAATATCATTTTTTCTGGTAATTATCATTTGAAAAATAAAACAGATCCGTTTATTTTTAAGGCTGCTACTTTGTTGACGTACCAAGTGGTCTGCATGCCATATTGGCCATGGTCCACTGGAAATTTCTCTATAACTTTTTCCTCGTTTGGAGTCCAATTCAAAAGCGCCATTTCGGAGCCAACCTAAGAGTAATTAATGAAAATTAATTTGATTTAATAACAAAATTTGAACTCCGGCTTTACCAAGTATGGACAGGTGTGATTGACGTTTGTAAAAGGCATCATAAAAGAATATATAAGATTGGAAATGAAAAACCTTCTTCGGTTCTTAAAGAATTGGCAAATGTCCATTTTGATATCGTACAAAAAGGGATGCCAGCCGCCACTCTCGCGTTTAACTATCTTGAAATGTATCTGAAACTGAAGTTGAGATAGTCTTTAGAATATTTTTCTTTTGGTACATATCTCAGTTATCAAACTACCTGTGATATCGTTTTATTAAGGACCGCCACTAGGTTCATCATATTATGCCTTCGATCGATGGCCTTGATGTTGCACAGCTTCATATACCCCATTTCTGGGGCACTTACTTCGCAGTTAAGTGAATTAAACTTGTAGGAACCATTGACCTTGGAAGAAACGGTTTTAATCCTTATCTGATATGTTATTCAATGATTTACTAACATGAATATAACTAAAATGATTTATCCAAAATACGCACAAATATATAACTTGTGTTTTGAACATTTTACTATATTTTACAGTTTAAACAACTTATAGACAAATGTACAAGGAACATGCGCTCTGATCATGTTTTTATTTAACACTGAATTGGATGTAATCTAGCAGGTTCATTTTTACTTTACTAATTGCTGATGACATTTGTCTGATTTAATATTTGAACTTGATGGCACTGAAGTACAGTACATATTCGGTATATGTTTATATTATATTAGTTGGATTTTTATTTATAATATTAAAATGAATAAAAGACATGTTTTCTATTTCTAAGTGTGTTATCTATTTTTAAGTTGTTCATTCTTAAATCTTTTTATAGTTTTATTATTAATACAATACCATATAGTTTAATTACGTTTTTATGTATTTAATGTATTTCTGTTACTTACGGTTAAAAAATATCTGTGCGTTTATGGCCAAAAGAGTACAGTTCTTGATGGCCACAAAAAAGCATTAAAAAAGTTTGATTTCTGCTAATTACATTTATTTTCTTTAATAAATACATGAAAATTTTATTAAAAATGATTTTTTTAATGTGCTTTTTAATCGTAGAATTTTCATTTATACTGTTATCTGAAAAATAAAACAGATCCATTTACTTTAAATGCCACCGCATTGCGAACGTAAAAAACTGATTGAAGGCCATACTGGCCGTAGTCCACTGGAAATTTTGCCAGAATTGTATCTTCACTTGGAGAAAAATTTTTAATTGAAATCTCTTCGTTAGCCTTGGAAGAGAATATATGAAATATATAAATTAATAAGTTAATACAGTAAGATATTTTAATAGGTGGTCTTACCACATATGGACAGGTGTGATTGATATTTGAGAAAGGCCTCATAATGGAATACATATAATTGGCAATGAAAAACTTCCTTCGGTTCCTAAAAAACTCGCAAACCTCCATTCTGATATTGTAAAAAAAGGGATGCCAACCGCCAATTTCTCGCTTTACGATTCTAAAATTCAGGTCAATCTACAGCAGAGATTACTTTTAAATTTTCTACATTTCTCATCCCAAATTACCTGGGTTATGTCTTCTTTTAAAACAACTGTTACGTTCAACTTGTTATGCTTTCGGTCAATAGCCTTGATGCGGCACTCCTTTAAATAGACAATTTCTGGAGCGGTGACTTCGCAGTTAAGTGAGTTAAACTTATAGGACCCATTGACAACCTTCAAAAGAGCTACGTTTTCATCCTTAAGTCCTATATATTTAACGATTTACTTACATGGATATAGGTAATAAGTTTTAAACAAAATATGCAGAAATATATAACTAGTGCTCTGGACATTTTATTGATGAGTACTAAAACTTATGGTTTCGATGTTAGTAATAGTTCGTCGTGTAGTTATACCCTTTGATCGTAAAGTGAAAGGGTATATTGTATTCGTTGAAAATAATGTAATAAATTATGGGATCACTTGGAGCATCACCAATGACCATCCGTAAGTCCTTATAAGTGCTGACAACTCAGAAACAGATTGAGCAAGAGTGGGGATTGGTCATGCAGACTTTAGAGATGTCCAGCCAGATAGATGCCTCACATGTCTCGAAAGATATATTTAAGGACATGATATTACCAACAGGTGTCTCTATGGAAAGTACAGATGACATTATCTACTGGGCTGTAAAAATAATGGGTATCTAATAGTCGTTGCTATATATTCGTTATTCAATTATTTATAGTTTGTTGGGGTATTTTTCTGGTTCAATACAAGCCATTAAAACTATTTGGAATATATGTTTTATTTATAAATTTCTAAAGCAATAAAAAACTCGTTTCTTCAATTAGTTTTTTTTTTGCAACTAAGCGTTTATAAATGAATCAAATATCATAGATTTTAATCATTTAGATTAACGTGTTTTTTTAGGAAGGTATAAACTACCCATCAAAACTAGTATTAAATTTCAATTAAAACCGTCAAATATATTTTGTTCATTCAATGGTAGACCCTTATACATAATCATAAATGTGATTTAAGTTGCCCATTATAGAAAAATCGTGTTCATTAATGTGTACCGCCATTCAACTGTAAACGGTCCGCATCACAATGCATTTGGGTTGCATTAATACCGCAAAGATATTGACAACGCTATAAACCCGCTTGCCAGCCCCCTTCTATATCTCTTCCCCCATTAATGACAGCGAACTCATCGAGCTGCCCCGTCTAAATGGTTTTGTGCGTCATCATCTTTCACCTGCCAAACGTTTCGCAGATGATTTGTAATTTGTGCGGTTTTTCAAATGCTTTTTCAATGCACTCAACCGCAGCGCAGCTTACGGGGTTTTTTTTGGGGGATAATGCCTCCTATCTGGGCACGATCAATGTGAAGATCGTACATTATGTTGGTTATACTTTTTTTTCGAGGGTCGTTGTCACGATTATGGCCAGCTTTGGAAATTTATCTCTTCGAAGGTTTATGGTTACTTTACTTATCTCAACGGCACATGACTTTCGCAGGGCGTTGCCATAGAGGGGTTAACATTGGGGCTTATATAGTACATCATTCATGAACGTGACTGAGAGACTAATTGCAGATGGCTAATCTTCTCATCAGGGTTTTTACTTTACTTTATAATGCAACTTAACACTAATTAAAAAACTCTATAAATGGTAGTAGTTTTCTTCTAATTATAGAACGCTTCCTAAATTCGCATTTCAATGTTCTAAAAATATAAATCAAATTTGTAAGAGATTACTTTAATATCCATAATTATTCGTAAACAATGATGTTTGAAAACTTAAAAAACAATGACAGACAGATATTGTCACGTTGGCAGCTGATCTGCAGTCATTAGAGCTTCGATGACTTTGATGGGTGTTTAGATAAATCCCAAGATTCAGTCAAACCCTGCGGCACTTCATCGCAGCCACACCACTGTTTGCTTAGCTCATTTCAATGCCAAACTCTTTTGTCTGATCGCGATTGCCACAACTATTGTTGTTCTTGGATAAATAGGAATGTTATTTTTTCTTCAACGGGTTCGTGCAGGTGTCTAACTTTGCCATTTACCGGCAGTTACAAACCACACTTGGGCAGTGAGAACACCTAACCAATCACTTCCCACGATGAGGGACATATGGTGCTCCATTAATTACGGCAGCTAAGCTGTATGTCAATACAATTCTTGTGTGCAAATTAGCTTTATTATAATTTCAATTGCCCCTCTTGATGATGTTGATGATGATGATGTTGTCGTTGTTGCCTTTCACTTTGTCTAACTTTTCATTCATATATGATAGACACTCTTTGATGACAAGAAAGATACTTTCGTTTTCGAAGCCCCTCTCCTCGGCGGCTTCTTGAGACAGCATTAGAAACCTTTTAAGACCGCTTTCCGGTCCTACAGACAGACAGAATGTACATACATTTTGGATGAGCACATATTTTTAGCAGCACTCAAGCGCATCTCACAGATGTCGTCGACAATTTATGCTGATGAGTGTCAAGTGCTTTGTCTGTCTGTCGACGAATTATCTGTGGATAAAGGCCCGCCATGCATATTCAACGAAGACATCTAATTTATTCCTAATAATTGGCACAGATTGCACAATGCGACCGCAGAGCACGATAGTAATAATAACAACAGCATCGAAACAATGGCATCGCCGAAACAACGGGCTAAAATAAAACCCAAATCCAAACCCAAATTCAAATCTGAAACAAAAAATAACCAGCCCAACAAATCATTGACATTTCGATGTGCCAATCGTTCGACATTTTGGCGGGCAATTTAAAATTAATTTCCCTGCAATTTGCGCAGACCAATTACCGCCGTGGAACTGCCTTTTTGTGTGGCCTTTGTCTGACTACATGTCGTCATTTAATAGTTAACAACGAAATTTCGCTTTCGTTTAAGCTCCGTTCAGTGATTTCTTGATTTCTTTATATACAAAATATCTTGATTTCTTCTCTTCTGCATCCGTCCGCCGCCGCTCTCCCTTTCGGCACTATCTGATCATATCCATCCATCTTTCGTTTTATAGGTCGTCCATGGCGTGCGCATCCAACTGGCTGATAGCGAAGATGACTCCGAATCCGCCGGAGAGCCAGCCAGGCATAGCGTGCGCCGGCGCAGCGTTGCCGCCGTGCAGCCGCTGCGAATTCTGCTTGTCTACGATGAGTCCGTCTACAGGTGAGTAACAAGGGGTACACTCTGGAAAATAAATATATAACAGCTGGAATTTATGAACATATTTTTAAGAAAATTTTAAATTTTAACATTAGCTTTGGAAGCTAAAATTCCTTTGTCTACTCTAAAGGAAAGTTACATAATTTCTCCAAAATTATGTATATTAGTCAGGAAAATTGGTATTAATAAGTTTTTAATTGACTTCTTAATAACTTTAATAGCTTTTGGTATAGATTAATAAGATTAATTGCTACCACATTGATCACTCATCCGAAGTATTGTCTTTTCAAATAAACTTTTATTTTCTTTTTCATCAGTTTTCCATTTAGTTGATATTAGCAGTTAGACTGAAAATAAATGCAGAAAAGTTTTAAGTGCAATTTGATTTATTTTGCCCTAAAAGCGCACTTTACCTAGTTAAGTTTCTTTTAGTGTAAATCTGTGCTCCAGCTCTGAAAATTGGCTTTAATTGCACTTTAATGGCAGCCAGCCAAGCAGACAGAAAAAACACAGTTTACAATTTGACTTGGCCGAATGTCAAGTTAACATAAAGCCGCGCAAAAGCGAGTAAATAACTCACTCTCCCGACCGTTTTGCTTTGGCCATGCACCGTTACGGCCGCTCCGCGTTGGGTAACAATATACGTATACTTCAGGCCCGAATCAGTTGGCCATGTGTGTGCGCAATTTGTCCAAATCAAACGCAGTGGGCCGAGGTGTTGTCTCCTAAGGTTGGCCATCGATTGCTCCATCCACATGGTCACTAGCTGCTAGCTACTAGCCACTAGCCATTTGGCCACTATAACTGGCCAGATTGGCTGACAGTTAACACTCGTTTCGATCTGACCGATCGATTTTAGAGAGTATTGGCAGCGGACAAGGTCAACAGGAAAGCGGAGAGTTGACTCGACTTGACTATAATTTTGGGGTCTCGTTGTCGGTTTCAATTCAATGAATAATTTAGCCGCGAATAAGTGACTCAAACAGGTGCTAACAGGTACACAATTACCCGGTATAAGTATCAGACAGTTGACAGTAAATATCGGGCGACCTTCTCGTAAAAGTGCTTTCGTTGAAGAATTTACATTTACAAATTGATTTCAAGCTTGTTTTGAGTTTAATGTAATGCTGAGACGATTGAAATCCGATTATTTGGCTGTATTGATATCAGCTTAAAGTTTTGGACGACGTATTTAATCCGGAAATTAAAGTACATCAAAAATATCTGTAGTTATTGTTAACTGTTGTAAGCTAGTTTATCCGTAGATAAGTAGATAACCAATAATGGTTAGTTGGAAATTATTTCCTTAAGAAAAAAACTTTCTCTTGGAAATCAAATTTTGCAGAATTGTCCTTGACTTATAAGCTTTAACGGCGTAATGAAGTTCCTACCCTAAAACGGTTGTCAGGGCTTCTTATCATAAAAACAAAATTGGCTTTTCAGATTTCTAGCACTTCTCAGAACGCCTACATCTTAACAGAAACTACACCCACGTCTGCTGTGGCCACCTCTTTTCCCAGAGAATCTAATAAACTAAACTATTTTCTTGTTGTTTCATGGTCTTACCCCCTGCCAGGTTGGAGGAAGAGAAATTTAATTTGATAAATGTGAGTTGACATTTCTTGGTTTTCTTGGCAACGTGGCTGAAGTCTTTGATTTAACCCATTTTAGGATACCGTGCTCCCTGAAGCCGTGCAGTTCTGGGAACAGGCGCTGATGGTGCGAGAGACCAAAGGCGTCATTCGTCTCAATAGGTATGTTCTTCCGCTTGAACAAAATCGGCAAACTGTATTAAATATTTATTACTGAAATTTCAGGAAATGCGACAGCACCCAGGTGTACGTGAAGAACGGCCACACCCACTGCATTGACCACTGCAAGGCGACGACGATGTGTGGTGAGGTCCAGGTGCCCGACGCTCACTTGGACGTACGTATCCTTAACAAAGTTTTCCATGAATTCCATTCAAGTTTAGGTCAACAAAATTCTGGGAAATTACCACCACACCTAACTTGGCTCGAAACGCCTAATTTCGAGGAAAGGCCTTGAGGAAAATACATGCAACTTAATTCAAAACTGGTTTAGGCAATGAACAATTGCAGCTTTGATCATGGGTCACTTAAATAGTTGGAAGCTTACAACACCCTTCGCAAATTGCTTTTTCGTGTGATGTAACAAATAAGTTTTTTCATTTTAAAAAAGTTAATATTATTAGCATTTATTTTGTGTAAAATATTTAAAAGCTTCTTAACATTCTTCTTCTTTTCTTTATTTCTTTATTCTTTTAGGTCTGTCGAGTGTGTAATGCCACAGGTCAGAACTGTCGAATAGATAGCAATACGCAACCGGGAGATGGAATTGAGAATGCAGATTTTGTCTTTTATGTGTCTGCTAGACAAACACAGCGTTGTTTCAAGGGTCTGACGGTGGCCTATGCGGCCCATTGTCAGCAGGAAGCAGCTCTGGATCGTCCAATCGCTGGTCATGCGAATCTCTGTCCGGAGAGCATCAGTACAAAGCCGCAGGAGCTACAGACACTGATCTCCACTGTAAAACATGAAATCCTTCATGCTTTGGGCTTCTCCGTAAGTCTGTACGCTTTCTTCAGGGATGATGAAGGAAAACCCCGGACTCCAAGAAAGTCTGACACTGGCAAGCCGTACCTGAATGAGAAGTAAGCTTACAATGTTTCCATTTCCCTTTGAAAATCCAAATGAAATTCACAAAATCCCATCTCAGATTGCAGATACATCAATGGAGTAACGAAACCATCCGCAAGGTGGTGCGAGAGAACTGGTCTGTGCGTGGTGGCCATGTTAACAAAGTAGTGGATATGATGGTCACGCCGCGAGTGATTGCCGAGGTGCGTGCCCACTTCAATTGCAATAAACTGGAGGGCGCTGAGCTGGAGGATCAGGGTGGTGAAGGTACTGCCCTGACCCACTGGGAAAAGCGCATCCTCGAGAATGAGGCCATGACTGGCACGCACACACAGTCGCCGGTCTTCTCGCGCATCACCCTCGCTTTGATGGAGGACTCCGGTTGGTATCGGGCCAACTATTCCATGGCAACGCCGCTTACTTGGGGAAAGGGATTGGGATGTGCGTTTGCCATGCGCAGCTGCAAGGACTGGATACAGTATAACCATGCCAGGGGCCGCTCCATACATCCATTCTGTTCGAAGGTTAAACAGGATCCCCTTCAAACCGAGTGCACAGATGATCGCAACTCTGTGGCGTTGTGCAACCTTATTCGCCATGAGTTCGAGCTGCCTAAGAGCTATCAGAACTTTGACAGCCTGAATCACGTGAAGGATGGAGAAGAGGGATACTACGGTGGGTCCGTCTCTCTGGCCGACCATTGTCCCTACATTCAGGAGTTCACCTGGCGCAGCAAGAATGTGATAGTGCGAGGATCTCATTGTCGATTCATGGAGAATAATCCTAGTAAGCCAAGGCAACATCATGACCTGAATTACTAGCTTAACTCACATTTTATCTTATCTTGCAGAACCTGAAAAGAACTTCGCCTTGGAGAGCTATGGCGAGGGAGCCAAGTGCTTCGACCACAGTGAGTCCATGTGGGAGGAGCGATCCTGTCACCAGACTCGTGAGTGGCAGCACTGGGGCAGTGGATGCTACAAGTATGACTGTTTCGATGGGCGACTGTACATCTTGGTGGGCAACTATAGTTACAAGTGCTCATTTCCCGGACAAAAGCTCTCCATTCGAATTGCGGCTAATGGATGGCTGCACAAGGGGGCAATCATGTGTCCGTCGTGCCATGAGCTATGCGGAGAACAGTTTGCCGCCCAGGGCAAACAGTGTCGCCCGGGCGAGGAGCCCGATCCGCTCAACAAGTACCCGCGCGACACTCTCGCTTGTGGAGCGGGCAGCGAAGTATCACTTTCCGTGGCCATAATGACCGCTGCTCTCCTGCTTTTCGGCCTGCGATGTGGACTCAGTTAGGCTGGTCAGGATGATGCAGGGGTGCAGTTTTACTTGCTCTATATGTATTTAGTGAAATTTGTACATTTTAGCTGTATGATATAAGCTCAACTTGTCTAAATTTAGGTCGATCGTAAGTGGAATACTACCAAAATCTGAGTGGGTCGGATTTTTAAGCAAAGAAATTTAGCCTCTTTGGACAACAAATTAGAATTTCCATTTTTTCTAATTGCCAGATCAAAAATAAGTTCGAATTATGGACTAGTAAAAGAACTAAACATTGTTCTTAGACTACTTTTTGTAGCTTCATTTTATTAATTGTTGCTCAACAGTTCAATTTGACCGCTCCCTCGAAACATATTGCTATTTAATCGTATTTGTATTTTGTCCATCCCAAAATGTGATTTTTTTATGTGTCCTTGGATGTTTCATGCACTTTGAAACGGCTCTATATACTTCAATGTGGAGCATCCAAAGAGAATTATGTTTCTGATCTACATTCCAAAGCCTGTTGCGAAAAATATTTGATATTTGGTACTGTGGCATTAAGCAGTTCCACTTTGCTTGTTTAATTCTTTGTTATTTATTATGAATATGGTTTTCGAAATTTGTTGATTGCCTTGTGATTTATCTATTCGATTAGTTTCGCTTAAGTTCAATGTGTTTTTCTATTTCTGCTGCCTGTCAAGCATTTAAGAATTGTACACTCAGCCCTCGATTTGTAATCTAGCTCTTAAGAACGTAAAAATGAATTGTGAATAAACCACTTATAAGTTTTAAAATAGTTTCTAAATAAAGTTTATTTAAATACTTAGGAGTAATCAAGCTCCTCGACCAGCTCGTAGAGGATAGCACCATCCGTTTCCTTTGTGGGAGATTCAGTGTGACTTTCTGGCTCTTTAGTAGACACTTTTGGCCTACTACCTTTCGTTTTGCTGGGCCTCGCGGGTGTTTTTATAAGTTTGGAACTAAACAAATTTAAAAGATTAATTTAAAATAATAAGATAATATATTATATTGCTGCTACTTACGCCTTGGTCAGTTCATTCAGCATGGGTAAAAGTATGGAACGAGACACTCCCCGCGATTCCTCCTCAGCCAGCTCTTTAGGATGCGCCTGGCGCTTATGCGATCGGCAATTGGAGCCGTTGGAAAAGTCCCTTCCGCAGAAGTTGCATTTGTAAGGCCTGATGCCGGTGTGCAGGATGAGATGCGCCTTTAGTGTCTTGCTCCGCTTGAATGCCGATCCGCAGACATCACACTTAAATTGCCGTTCATCTGAGTGGACCAATTTGTGCTTATTGAAGGTGCGCCGGGTCTTAAGTTTTACGCCGCATATAGTACACTCGTAGATTTTGTCACTGTGCGTATCGGAATGAATCTAAAACAGAATTGGGTAGTCATATACATCTCTAAAAATTTGGAAACCAAGAAGCCATTATAAATGTGTTTGCCTACCTTTAGTCTCGTCAAGTTTTTAAAACGACGTTTGCACACAGGACACTCGAAGGGGCACTCTTCAGTGTGGACCAGTTTGTGATCTTTTAAGCCGGTGACGTAATTGAAGCTCTTGCCGCAGAGATCACATACATAGGGCTTGATCTTTTTGTGTACCCCTTCGATATGTCGCTTGAGAGTTCCCGGGGTGGTGAAAAGTTTTTTGCAGAATATACAAGAGTTATCAGGCTTTGGTGTGCTGGGTAAATGGCATTTATAGTGGGAGGCCATCTGGGTGGCGGTAAGAAAACATTGTCCACACTGGTTGCATTCCAAACGCGGTAAATCCCTGGCCTCAGTGTCGTGCACCTCCACCATGTGTCGTTTGTATGCCATGGGTTTCTTATACGGCTTATTGCAAATGTGGCAAGTATAGATGACTGGTTCCGCGGGTATATCTTCCACGTCCTTAACGAGATTATCCGGAATAGAATCATCTTGAGTATCTGTTTCGGATTCAGTGGATTCCTCAGTTTCTTTTTCTTTTAAACTTTGTTCAGCTTGAGATAAAAGTTCATAGGTTTCCACATGAAAGTCTTCCACTTGACTTTCTTCTATTATTTGCGACTCTTCGATGTAGTCTTCCTCTGGTATGTGATCAACTTCTATTAAGCTTTCTGAGGTCTCCAGCGCTTCTGCTTCGTCTATTTCTTCCTCCACAGTTTCAACTTCTTCCTCCGCAAGGTATTCACTCTCCTCCAAGATTTCCTGTTCTTCGTTCGTTCTACTGATTTCAAGTTCTTCCTGAACGACATCTAGTTCATTAATAATCGCTTCTTTTGACTGAAAGTGTTCTTCTTTTTCCACCAGTTGGGGTATTACTAAAATTTGCTCTTCCACCTCATCAGTGGTTATTTCATTTTCAGCTATTGCTCCAACCTCATCCACGAATCCCTCTTCTTTCTGCATAAGATGCGCTTCAACTGTTCTGGATATCATATGTTTCCATTCATCGTTTTCTAAACCGCAATCCTTTCGAATTTCCGGATAATTCACTAAATTTTCCGGGTTTAAGGACTGTAATCTGTTGAAAACGATCTGCACTTTGCGAACTCTATCTGAAAAGTTAATGAGGCAATCCATCAATGTAAAGCATTCGGAGCACAGATAATTGCTCAGCGCATCCTCTCTTTTGATCTGAAAGGAATTATTTTAGTTTCATAGGATACACATTTAAATTAACAATAATTACATCCACCCAGAAGTATTTTCCTATAGTCATGGCCAACAAAGTCGTGTTTTGAGAGTTTGGTTGATCTTCTTCGGTGTACAAAGTACGGTTTGTCGGGTGCTCGTGGGCACACAGGCGACACCATCGATGCCAAAGTGTAGGATCTCCATTAGCGACTTGTTTTCCAGCGGAAATACTCGACATTTTTAAAAATCATTTAAATTGTACAACCACTATTGTTTTGTTTTGATTAACAGCCCTGCTTCTGATTAAGTCCCAGGGTCGGGCACTGCGCAAGCAACCAGGGCTGAAGTTGCTTTTTGGTTCAGTAGTTCCAGACGAATATCGTAAATGTATTATTTAACACAGCGGGTGCAAAAATTCGCTATACGGCAGAGCCCTTACTAACACAAAAACATGAAATGGTGCTCAATGAGCACTGCTCATATTTATTGAAGTTTTTGTGTTGGCTTGCAGCTTTGCACTGAGAGAAAGAAAAACTTTCTTTTCGCTAGCCAATTCATCACTCATTTTACTGACAGCCAAATGCAAAATATACTCGAAAAATACCCTCGACCTGTCAAATGAGCAAATATTCCTAAAAAATTATATTTCCGCATTCGGCCAAAAAAGTTTCGGTCTAAAGCTACAAAAATCTTTGACTAAGCTCTGAGCCTGATTTTTTGCATAACAACCAGGAAAAATTAGCATTTTGTTGTTTCATTTTTTTTTTTTTCAAAAAATTGATTAGTGAAAATTTTTCAAAAAAATAAATGCACCTTCCTGCCCTTTCCAACGCTCCTGCCTGGTGCACTGAAAACTTATTAAATCCTAACGGCTCTAAGTGCAAAGCAATGGCCTAAACCCTCATCTACCCATTTACATCCTGCATGGTGTAGCTCTGGAAAGAATTAAGGCAGTCGAAGATCTTGGCATCTTACTCGATTCAAAAGTTAAATTTTCCGACCACATTTCCTATATGGTTAATAAAGCCAAAGGTGTGCTTGGTTTTACGTAGAGACGTACGCCAGAAGACTGCACCCTTCGGTCGGTTGGGCGCGAGGTGGTCAGTTGCACGTCACGCGACGATACTCTCCCAAAGCAGAAAAATAAAATAATATATATTATATATATCAATATATAGGTTTAATGACTTTATTGAGAATTTCAAATTATTATTCCGAAACAAAGTTGACCAACTATAAAGGGCAAATAATTTAGAAAAATTTGTATCATTAAATTATAAATGTTTTTTTAGACACTGATACCTATGCTTGACCTTTGGTTCAAGGCGATTTAAAATATTAGCCAAATAAATGGGATAGTTTAAGATGTACTCGTACGTTGGTGTTTTTATGTATTCAAATAATGAGAGGAATTCCTGCTCAGATTCCGCTGTTTCCTTGCTTAAACTGTTTTTCACCTTTTTGGCGTCGATTAATAATTCTTTATAAATGGTCATCATTCCCTGAAGAATTGTATTGCGCAGATTAAGAGTGTGCGCCTTTACGATGTTTTCTTTGGAAAATATCTCGAATGCAGTCTTGTTATGGATAATCATAAGTGCTTGAGCTTTATCGATTCCAAAATACTCATGGTCATTCGTTCCATTGGCCGATCCCTCTACTATCTCTCGTAACTTGTTCGTGAAATATTTCTCCGCATCAAACATAAAGTTGGCATTCATAATAATAGAAAATATTTCCATTCTAGTATTTTGAAAAGAGCCCACAAAATTGCACAGGATCTTCTTATCCGACTCGGGTAAGGTGACGATCGGAGGCAGGGACTTATCCGTCGTCGAATATCCAAAAATATCTGTGGAGCCATCAGATTCCTTTGATGTGTCTTCGTCTGTACTTGCTGATGTGTCACTGTCCGCATCTGTTAAAGTGTCGAAATCACTTGGAGCTCCACATGTATAGCTCTAAAATGACAATAAAGTAACGAAAAATAAAGAAAATATAATACTTTTTTACCAACAACGAAGCACTTATAAGCAAAATGAAACGCATTTTTCAGTAAATGAATTATTATTGTGATGCTGCCGTTGAGCGCTTCAGTATTTATAGGGAAATTTACAATGGTATTTTATACATATCAGCCTTATATTGATAAAGCTTTTTTATAGGCAGATTTTTTTAATCAGCAGCAAGTAGGAAATATTAATAAACTAAAAGGGAATTGCAATCTTAATTCCTTGACGTTGGTCCTAAGAAAATATTTATTGCCTATCTTAAATGACGTCAAAATAGAGTCTATGCTTTCGAGCTCCAATCGGTATTCTTTTATTACCTGCCTCGCCCACTCTAACGCCCACAATTTACGGAAAACTAAAATCGCTGAAATCTCAGGAACTATTAAAGCTAGAAATTTGATATTAAATATTTATAATCTTAAGATGCCAGCGCATCTTAACCTACATTTCTTCATAAATAGCGAACTAATGTTCCTATTTGAAAATCTTTGTTAAATTGATAGATATTGACAAAAATGTGTTATATAGGTCAAATAAAGACACTCAATATAATATTATATTATGGAGGCCACAGCTTTCCGCGGTTTGTGGGCTTTAAAGTGGGCATGGCCGGATGAAAACTCGCGTCAAGCTGCAGTGGCATCTCTAAAATACGTATTCCTGACCCTAAATTTCTACCTCTTATAGTTCCCAAAATTTTTGAATTTTTGGTTTTCCGAGTGGTCGTTTGAATGTGCGTGGCTAGATAGAAAAAAGCAATTCACATTGAGAGCATCATAAATAAACTACATTCTACGAAAGCGAGCTTGGTGGGCGTAATACTGAGCATGGCCGGATACCACCATAAGATGCACTGGCATAACTTCCAAGCTTTAATACTTTCTAGGATTTCAGCGATTTTAGTTTTCCATGATTTGTGGGCGGTACAGTGGGCGTGGATGCTGAAACGAAATGCGTAGGGTCCTCAAGAATCTGCCAGCTTAATCTCAACTTTGTTAATCTTATAGTTCCTGAGATCTCAGGGCTAAATCGACTTCGCTATTAATCCTGACCAAGAATATATAAGTTGACGCCGGTCAAGTACCCTTCACCTCCTCTTAATCTCTATACCAGATATAACGACGCAGCGACAGCGAGGGAGAGACTCAACGTCGGCGAAGGCAGCGTTAGTCGGGATCGGTTTTTCCGCAGCTGCGCGGGCAACAATATGCCGACGGTCTCTAAAACAGCGATTTGACCGATGGACTTGAATGGTGTACCCCCAACTTGAGCGGCGACTCTTGATTAAGAAATACACTATTATAACGAAGAGGAACAGCTATTGTTTTATTTAACGTAACGTAAAAACAAGGAACAACAATGCAATAAACCCTGACCAGGTAATATCTAGGAGAATACTCCCTCTTCTGGGTCGGAACCTTCCTTACCTTCTAACTGTTACATACTTTTCAACGAATATTATATATCCCTTTACTCTACGAGTTACGGGTATAAAAAGGTATCGCCTCCAACACCTAAACAAGTGAAGAATAAAGGACAAGCGTGCCAACATAGCAGATCAACCATTTTCTAGTATCAGACCGTTAATCCCATACAGAAACAAAGCCTCGATGTCGTTAGGCTCTGACAGTTCAGAACCAACTACTATTAACGATAAGTTCAATCCAAATACTAAAATTTTTTCATTATTATGATTTATTTATTTATTATTTATTACGATGTTTAAGGACAACAACAAGGGCATTATTACGTACGATCCGATGCGAAGCAGTTTTTTGAAAGAGATTAAAACAACAGATTGGGCCAGCTTACAGCCGACAGATACTACCGGTTGGTCTTTAGTTTTTACTTAAGTTTACTCATGAGATGCTTGTTAAAAAATGTATCCAAAAACTGATTAAGACTGCGAAGGTGTTAATGTATTTCCAATATGAAAGTATCAGTGAACTGTTTGTTATTGACTTCAAATATTTTAGGTTTTTTTTTTCCTTTTTTATATCGTATTATATCAAACAAATTTAGTAGTCTATTGTTTCAAGATAAAAATGATAAAAGATAAAAAAGATCAAATAAAAAATAATATATATATATTTATAACTTTATTGAGAATTGCCGCTTCATAATTCAAAACAAAGTTGATTATGATGTCTAAAAAATAAACAAAAGCATGTTCGGTTACTGTTTTTTGACACACTGATATTTATGGTTGAGCCTTGGTTCAAGGTGATTCAAAAGATCGGGCAAGTCGTTGTAATAGTTTGGGTTATCATTTGGCGCTTTTAGATTTTCAAAAGATGAGAACAATTCTTGCTCAGACTCCACTGTTTCTTTGCTTAAGCTGATGTTCACCTTTTTGGCCTTAAGTAATAAATCGTCATGGATGATGGTCATTCCTTGAAATATCGTACTTTCCATTTTAAGGTCTTGCGCTTTAACAATATTTTCTGCGGCCGCTAAAGCGGTCTTGTTCTGAATAATCACGTGTGCGATTCCAATAAGCGCTTGCCTATCAGTTTCATTGACTCCCTGTAACATTTCTTGAAACTCGTCTTGCAAAGATTTCTCTGCATTGATTACAAATTCAAAGTTAGCACCTGCAATGACTGCAAACAATTGCATTCCAATTCTTTGAAAAGAACCCACAAAGTTACACAGTATCTTTTTATCCGCCTCGGGCAAGATGACAATCGGAGGGAGAGGCGTGGTCGTCATATAATATTCATACCAGTTTATCGAAGAGGAACTCTGTCCGGAGCCTTTTGAATCATTTAATTTGCCATCGTCTGCCATTACTGATGTTGTACTGTCTACTTCATTTGACGGTGAAGTTTCCAAGTCCGTTGGAGCGCCGCATGTAGAGCTCTGAAATAAAATTAAAGTAAAGTTAAGTAAGTAATAACTATTAAAAATTTACCAACAAAGCTGCAGCTGTAATCAAAAAGAAACGCATTTTGCAAAAAACGATTTATAACTGTCAAGCTAGCATAAAGCATCACAGTATTTATAGGGAAATTTACATTGGAAAATATATGGACATCAGTCCTGTTTTGATAAAGCTAGTTTTATCAACTGCATTAGAAAAACATTAAAAAAGGAAAGTTCAACGGAAAGTTTAGATAATAAAAGGGAGTTGCAATCTTAATGCTCTGACGGTGGTCGTTGGGAATCTTTTGTGCTTTTCTTAAGTGACGAAAGAATGGAACCTCTCGTGCTCTGATCAGTATTCCTTAATAACGCCTAGAAGGAACAGCAAAAAGATGCTCAAATGAAA